AAGGTGCATAGTATAAAAATAGCATTTTATAATGGTAGATTTTGTTTGGTTAGTGCAACATTCCTCCTGTCTTTGAAAATCCACTGTCAGATTTTCCCCTAGGTTACTAGTATAAGGCCTAACAGGCTACAGTAAAATCACTTTAAGCTCACTTAACATCAAACAGTAATGTGCATTTTAAAATGCTGGACAGTAAGATAAATAGTAATTATTGTGCTTTTCAGAAAAGTGTGCTCTGGGCTGAGGTTTATGCAATTTTTTTTGCTGAGTTTTCTGCTTGACCAGCTTTGACTTACCTGGAGCTGCATCTTGTGCAGCATAGTTTGTAAACAACAGAGGATGCACACTTTGAATGCAGTGACATAATGGGTGTGCAGAGTGCTAAGTAAAGCATTACAGATGCTGTGTGACTTATTTTTATCCGAGTCCTTCTGAATATAGCATTTTTATCTCCCATGCCAATACAAAACTATTTTTGTGTCTCTAGGAAATACAAGGCGACACGGAGACCCAGCCTTGTTCGCATTTAAACACGACACTACACGGTGGGACTCGCCATGTGTTAAACACTACATATGTCTGCAGAACCAGAACCTACGTGCGCTTGTGAGCAAAGCTTTGTACTAGCATCACTTGCAGAGGGAAACTGAAGTTTATGAGTCAAATTCTCCAGCGGGACATTATTCTGCTGCCACACGCAGCTACAAAATGCAGGGGTAACATGGTGCTAAACCAGAATGCTTCTCGCTTTACACGAGCAGACAACCATATAAAATGCAAGCCAGGGGAGAGTGTTGCTTTTGAAAAGTGGCAGTACGTCTGACGTCACATGTGAAGAGCTGATTTTGTATTGACATGCCATCTTTGCACAGTTTTCTGTAATGAAGCAGACTTTGAAAAATGCAGCAGCCAGTTCTGAAGTACAGTTAAACGACGTCGCAAAAACTGCTCCAAGAACAATGCAGAAAGCGTTTACTGAATGGTAAAGGGGGAAAATCAGGATGAATACTTGTGATACCAACACCGACAAAATAGCAGACAGGCACACGTTAATTACCAAACTGTACTTGTGTAAGCTGCAGGTCAACATCGTTCTTTATTGGCGTTTGCTGCCACTACGGCCTCGCTGCCGAGACCCGCGCCCCAGCCCAGCCGGCGGACAGCACCCCGCGCCGGGACGGCCTCACGGGCGTTTGTTTTTGTTTTTAATCTCGGGAGCGCTTATCTATTCCTCTGATGTTTGGCAGGGCTGACTCATGACTGTTGGACGCTTGCGGTTGGCAAGAGCTGGAGGATGAGGTTTCTCCGGGGGCGGAGCGCGTAAAATATCACTAGGATCAACAGCGGGGCTCCGCGGCAGCCGGGGCCGGTCGGGTGGGTGCCTCGTCCTCCCTCTAAACGGCTGAGCCTTCCCGACCCCCGCAACGCCTTCCCCGGAGCCCGGAGGCTCCGGTGGCCGCGCACAAAGCTCTCGCAGCGGACCCCTCGGCCATGGCGGCCGCCCCCACATCCCCTCGTGGTGGACTACGACTCCCAGAGCCTCTCGCGGCCGCTGGAGTCCGGTGCTAGCACCACATATACATATACACACACAGAGAGATCCCGGGGGGAGAGAGGAGGGGGGGCGAGCCAGCCGCGCGCATGCGCCTCCCCCCTCCTCGGCAGCAGGGGAGGGGCGGGGCGTCCGCGTCGCCGCTATTCGCGGAGCGGCCGTACGCATCTTTCCGTGCGTAGCGAGCGCGGCGGGCGAAGGAGGGCGCGCTGCGCTGTTGGCGTAGCGTTGTTGTGAATGGAGCGGGGCGGGGAGGATGATGTCAGCCTGGCGAATGTCAACAATGTAGCGATTGAGGGGCGGGGGCGGCGCCGGGCCGGGGCGCGCGCGGCGGCGGGGCGCGGGCAGCGGCAGAGCGGGGCAGCAGCGGCCGCGGAGCAGCAGCAGCACCAGCGCCGCCTCCTCCTCCT